TTCATCCTCTCAACAACACCATTTTGCTGAGAAGTCATTCTAACAGTCTTATGCCTAAGAATTCCTTGGTCACTATAGAATTGATCAAATTCAGCATTACAAAATTCTAGGTCATTATCTATTCTTAATGCCTTGACCCTCTTATCTATTTGATTTTCCACAGCTCTTAAACTTAGTTAAGGCCTCATCTTTAGATTTCAGAAGGTAAACCCACACTTCCCTACTTAGGGGTGTTATCAAGCCAAGCCGAGCTGAGTTTTTGGCTTATCGAGCTCAGCTCGTGAGAGAGGAAGAGTAAACAAGCCGAGACCGAGTCGAGCCAAGTTAGAAATTATGTAGCTCGGCTCCGCTCGATAATGGATTTGGCTATTTCAAACTGGCTCGCGAGCCGGCTTATCGAGCCGAGTTCGAGCCGACTCGCGAGCCATCTCCAAATAATTTTGTTTTTTTTTTTTATTCAATTTTTTTTACAAAAATTTGGGCAACTTAACCAGCTGGCTTGCGAACTAAGTAAAAAACATGAAATTTTTTTTTCAAAATTCGGTGTAGCTTTTCTCTTCCCTCATTTATTACTCTTTCTTTTCTCTCTCTCATTTATTACTCTCTTTCACTTCTTTCCTCTCTGATTTATTATTGATTTGCCTTATTTTCTCTCTCCAGACTCAATGGCAATGGTTCACGTTTCTCTTTTTTTTTTTTTCCCCTTTCTCCCTGTTTCCCTTGCTCTCTCCAGTCTTCACAACTCTGAAGTTATTCTCGTCCTCTTCTTATTACTCTTTGCTTTCTCTTATTTTCTCTCTCTCTAATGACGCTGTTTCTCCTATTTTCTCTTTCTTTCCTTTTTTTTTCCTCCTTTTTTCTTATTTTCTCTTTCTTCCTTTCATTCTTTCTCCTTGTTTACCCGGCACTCTCCAGTCTCCACCAACTCTGATTTCTTTCCTCCTTTTTTCTCCTTGTTCCCTGCACTCTCCACCAAATCTGACGCTGACTGCCTAAAATGGTTTGGTTTAGTTTAGTTTTAGGAGAAAGGTTTTTGTCACGTTTTTAGGGGTTTTAACATTGGGGTGTTCTTTGTCATTTTTGCAAACTTTTTGTTTTAAAAATTTTAGTTTAATCCCTTATACTTAATAAAACCCCTAAAATGCCCCTAATAATTCGAGCCTGACTCGGCTCGCGAGCCTAACGAGCCAAGTCAAGGCAGGCTCGAACTCGGCTCGTATTCTCTCACGAATCGAGCCGAGCCAGCTCGATTCGTGAGGCTCGATTTCAGACGAGGCAAGCAGTTAACGAGCCGTACTTGAGCCGAGCTGAGTCGGCTCGCAAGCAGCTTGCCTCGTTGGACAGCCCTATTCCTACTGAAATCATCTACTATAAACATGAAATAACAATTTCCCCTATAGGACTTGACCTTTTCAGGTCCCCACAAATATGAACGGAGGTATTCCAAACAGTTTGAGGCAAGGTGAGTTCCTTTTGTGAAACTCATCCTGTGTTGTTTACCTAGCACGCAATTCTCACAGAAGTCAAGAGTAGTTGTAGTGTCCTTGCCAAACAATCCTTGTTGGTTGAGTATATTCATCCGCTTCTGACTCATGTGGTCCATTATGAGGTGTCACTTCTCTGTCATAGAAAAGTTAGTAGAAACAAGAGCAGAATTGAAACAGTCAAAATAATAGTTACCACAAAGAACATAGAGCCCATTCATTTTAACACCTTTCAGGATAAGGTTGTTATTTCTATACACATTCAGACAACCATGGTCAGCCCTATAACAATAGTCAGACTCGTCTAGAGTTCCTAAAGAGATCAGATTCCTTTTGAGTTCAGGGATAAACCTAACCTTAGTCAATTTAATTAGCTTTCCATCATTTCGCTTTAAGGTTATACTACCCATCCCTTTCACTTTACAAGCATTGTTGTTACCCATGAAAACAGTCTCACACTCACATACTTCATAATCCTGAAACTATTTTCTATTTGGACTCATGTGAAAAGAACATCATGAGTCTAATACCCAATCCTGTACACAGACTGACTTAGACACTATAAGAACTTCAAACTCTTTAATGACATGTTTGGTTGAGGCTAATTACTCTCTGTGTTTCCCTGTTTCTATTTTTTAATCCACTCAAAGTAGTTTTTCTTTAAGTGGCTTGTTTGGTTACAATAAAAGCATTTTCTCGTTTCTCTTTTAGGCTTATTATTCCCCTTTCCCTTCTTCTTATTCTTAGAACTAGGGTTATGCTGAGTACCTTTACTAGGTTGACCAAACTCAATTTTACCCTTTAGAAGCAGTGTATTACCATTTCATTTTTGGATTTTCAGCTCTAATTCCCTAGCTTTTAGACAAGCTATAATTAGATCCAGACTAGGTATTGTACCAGTATATTGCAAAGCATTCTTAACCACTTGATACTCTTCAATTATTGAGCTTAACAATATCATAGAAAGACTGGTGTCCCCTAATTCCTGGTCTGTACCTTTCAGTATCAAAGTCATTTTAAGGAATTCATCTAGATTATCATCAATAGACTTATAACTGTCCATTTTATATGAGAACAAAGCACCCTTTAAAAATGCAAGATTTGGTGCAGATTGCAAAGAATATAGTGTTTCGAGTTTACCCCATAGTGCAAGAGGAGTCTCTAGGCCGTCTACCTTCCTTAGAACATTATCAGAGAGGTCCGTCACGATTAGATTATACGCTTCCTCATCTATTTCTAGCTTCTTCTTTAATTTTTCTTCTGGCCATTTCTCCACGTTCTTTTCTTGTGCAACAACTACCTTGTTGTGGGAAAGCAGTGCTTTCATCTTCTTCTTCCAACTATTAAAGTCTATTTTTCCATCATATTGTGTAATCTCCATCCGTGTGGTAGACATTGTGTGAATTTTGGTAAAGATATCAAGAATTTACCCGCTTAACCCTAGAAATCAAAATTGATCTCTAGTTTCAGAGAATTGACAACTCGGTTTGACAAGATTAAAGACCTTAAAGTACAACAGGGCAGTTAGACACAAAACCCCCAAATTTCAACGAACCCTAGATTTCAAGAAACCTACCCAATTGAACGATTAACACCTTGAATTTCATATCTAAGAACCTTAGAGTACTAAGAGACTGATCAATCGAAAAACCCCCAATTTTTAATGAATCCTAGATTTCAAGAAACATGCAGATCGAAGAAAGACCAAAGAACGCTAGAAATTCTAGCTCTGATACCACTGTAAAGATTCAAGCCTAATAATCAATCTCCAATATCAATCAATCACACAGCCAAAAAAATCCACATAATAACACAATCAAGAACAAACACAAGGTTTTTACTATGGTTCACCTATCCAAGATTGGATAGACTACATCCACGTTGAGCTGTAGAATATTTGGGGCTCACTGCACTAATTGATCAAGAACTTACAGTTTACAAGAACAAAGATCAATCAATCTTTCACTCAATGACAACCAAAACTCACTTTGTAACTCCTAATCTAGAGAAACTCTTCCTGGTATCTTTAATATTTGAGAGAACACACAACCCTCACAGAATAACTAAGAACTAATCACTCACTCACTGGAGCTACACTGATTTTGGACTGAAAAATGAAAAAAAAAATTGAGAGAACTCATTTTTCCTGAAAGAGAGAAGAAGACCGATTATTTCTGCATTTTTGGGGCTGCTTGTAATGTTGACTTGAAGTGTAAATCTCAGCCATTGGATCACTATTGCCATCAACGACCAGCAGTCTCCCAAGCATCTTAAAACAACAGCGCACTACTTAGTCATTTTAAGCACTATGCGATAGCGTTTTGAGGCTTCACTTCAACACATTGTCTTTTAAAAAAAAAAGTGTATAAGTTTATGTATCTTTATATCTACAGATTGAGTGGAATTATAGAAGTTATAAATTGATATTATAATAAGACCCTATTGAATGAATACATGTGCAATGATCCTTTTTTATAAAACAGATAATAATTTAAGGATTACAAATTCAATAAATGAAATACGTTTATATCAAGGTTTGCGATACAACTCAACTTCTTATATACATTTATATAGATATAAGTTTTAGATTATTACACTGATCTAATAATGTTTGATCTGGTAACATAAAGAATGATTTGGTAACATAACAAGTAAAACTTATCACATCAGAACTACATTCCATTCAATAGTTCTTTAACATATTGTTGGCTTGAAAGCCACCGGATCTAACCCAACCAACTTTTCAATATGTTATTTTTAAGCACATCTCTATCGTTGGTTAGTTCTTGCAATTTGCGAATAAATTTTGTGGGAATTGACAAGTTGTGTTAACATGTACAGTTCAGTTTAATTCAGTTTTAGTTAGTTTGTTAGTTTGTTACTGTTATTGTTAAGAGAGTTAGTTACAAGTTTGGTTAGTTATTAACTAGAGTTAGTTAACTGCAGTTAGTAGTTTACTGAGTTAGTTTGTAAATATAAAAGACAATGTACAGATTGTATTTTCTTTACCCGAAATAATACATAGCAGTTTCCCCAATTTTCTCTCTTCTACATGGTATCAGAGCAGGAGATTTCCTGCAAATTTTTTTCCAGAAATTGGTTCGATTGAACCTCCATAATCTTCTGTTTCCAGAAATTGGTTCAATTGAACCTCCGTATTCTTCTGTTTCAGCTCCGTATTCTTCTGTTTCAGGTTGAAAAGGCGCAAGATTCTTCTATTTTAGTTTGCATATTCTTCTATTTCAGCTTGAAGAGACGCAAGATTCTTCTGTTTTTAGTTTGAAGAAGCGCAAGACTCGTCAATTTGTTTTAGTTTTGAGCTGTAGATTTTGGAAGCAGTGAGATCTAATTTTGAGCTGAAGATTTTGGAAGATCAGTTATGGCAAAAGAATCAGCTATACCGTCGATTGATTCAAATTCGCCCCTCTATGTTCATCCATCTGATACACCAGGGTTGGTACTAGTGTCAGACAGCTCATAGGAACAGAAAATTATGGTATTTGGAGTAGAGCTACGATGGTTTCCCTATGTGCCAAAAACAAGCTCGGTTTTGTTGATGGAACTTGCACAAAATCTTCAGTCCATGATCGTTTAGCTCCACAATGGGAAAGGTGCAACTCTTTGGTTCTTGCCTGGATTTTTAATTCAGTATCCAAAGAAATTTTCAATGGGATTGTGTATTCAACCAATGCTTCACAAGTCTGGCAGGACCTGAAAGAACAATATCACAAAGTGAATGGCACTAGGGTTTTTGGTATCCATAGAGAAATTGTGAATCTTACACAGGGAACCAACACTATGGCAATTTATTTTAACAAGCTTAAGTCGTTATGGGACGAATTGGATTCTATGGTAAGTCTTCCTGCTCCAGATAGTGCTTCCGGAAATACATATCCTGAACACCTTAATCAACAAAAGTTATTACAATTTTTGATGGGTTTGAATGAGTCGTACTCTATGGTCAGAAGCCAAATTCTGTTGATGAATCCCCTGCCGAGTGTAAAAAAAGCATATTCCGTAGTGAATCAAGATGAGAGCCAAAGGATTCTAGCAGGATTGAATACTAATGCAGATGTAACTACAAGACTCTATGCTCAGAATGGTAAAAATCAAAATCCAGGGTAGAGATATAAGGGAAAGAAACCTTATATTGAATGTGATTATTGTCTCCTACCTGGTCACAAACGTGACAATTGTTACAAGCTGAATGGTTATCCAGCAGATTATCAGTTTACAAAAGGAAAGGGGAACTCAAAATCCAAATACTCTGCTAATCAAGTGCAATCACAAGAAACAGTTGCAAAAACGACATATGCAAAGTCTCCTAATATTCCAACTGGACCTGTTTTCACATCGGAGCAGTACAATCAGATTCTGGAGCTGCTAGGAAAAGAGAATGTAACCTCCACAAATCATTCAGTTGCAAACCTTGCAGGAATGTAACCTCCACAAATCATTCAGTTGCAAACCTTGCAGGTATCTTTAATAGTACACATGATATTACATTGCCTGATTCAAATAAAAATGTTTGGATCATAGATACAGGGGCCACTGATCACATGACCTATGACCTTAATATTTTGCAGTCACCCATTGCCATAAAACCTTCCTCAAAATCCATTATAGGTTTACCTGATGGCACTAAGACTCATATTACACATGTAGGTTCTACAATTTTGGACAATGGCATACATCTCTCAAAAGTTTTGCATATACCAACCTTTAGACACAATTTGCTTTCTGTCTCCAAATTTACAGTTTCTAATAACTGTACTATCAATTTTTACCCTGATTTTTGTCTAATCCAGGACCGTTACAGTGGCAAATTGAAGGGGATTGGTACGCATAAGCAAGGCTATATTTCCTTGACTTCAATTCACAAAAAACAATAATGTCAGTAGATGATTCGCATAAAGCTGTTTCCAATATTTCTACTAATAATGTACCATGTCATTTTCAGTTAATGGAGACTCTGAATTTCCAAATATTTTTCTTGCTGCAAATGTTTCTAATAGTGCTGAATTGTGGCACCAAAGGTTAGGGCATGTTCCTTATACAATATTACGTCATATGCAAAAAGATTTTGATGTTTCTAATCCTCCTCACTACACTGTTTGTCCATTAGCTAAGCAAACTAGGGTTCCCTTCCATCATAGTACTTCAATTTCTAATTGAATTTTTTATTTGTTACATGTAGATGTTTGGGGTCCATATAGGATTCCAACACATGGAAATGCTAGGTATTTCCTTACTTTGGTTGATGATTTTTCAAGAGTAACCTGGTTATTTCTCATGCAATACAAATCTGAAGTTTTCATTACCATTAAACATTTTCTTAAAATGATAGAAACTCAATACCATTGTACTCCGAAATGCATTAGAAGTGACAATGGTCTTGAATTTTTTAATAAAGAATGCCATTATCTATTTCTTAGTAAAGGTATTGTCCATCAAAGCTCATGTGCTTATTCCCCTCAACAAAATGGAGTTGTTGAGAGGAAACATAGACACATCATTGCAGTAGCTAGGGCTTTGAAATTTCAGTCCAATATACCAAATAATTTGTGGGGATATCGTGTGCAAACAGCAGTTTACCTTATAAATAGGTTTCCTTCATCAATTCTCAAAGGTATATCACCTTTTGAAAGATTTTTTGGTCACCCTCCTTCATTAGATCACATCAATGTGTTTGGTTGTGTAGCTTATGCTACCATTCTCACCCCTAAGGACATATTGTCACCTAGATCTACCCTTTGTGTCTTTTTGGGTTATTCTTTGACTCAAAAGGGATATTTTCTTTATGATATTTCTTCTCATAAAGTTTTTGTCACTGGAGATGCTCTTTTTCATGAGACCATTTTTCCATTCACTTGGTCTACATCTCCATCATCACCTTTTCCCTTTGATCCTGAATTTCTGGATATTGAGTTACCTTCTACAACTATAGCCCCTACTGTCCCTTTATCAGCCGATTTATTACCTATTGTCCAGCATGCAGAACCTATAGGACCTCCCTCTCCATCTATTAATTCCTCTCCACCTCAACCTGCCATCCCTCTTAGGAAATCCAGTCGACTTACAAAGCCCCCTATCTAGACTTCAGATTTTGTATGTCCATCTATTTCTCCTTCCACTTCAAATTCAGCCACTTGCATCCCATATCCTATCTCTAATTATGTATCTTATAGTCATATTTCACCAAGCTCCCAAGCCTTCTTATCTCATCTCAATCTAGTGGAACCCTCTTCCTTTAATAAAGCTTCTCAAGATCCTAATTGGGTAGCTGCCATGCAAAAGGAAATACAAGCTTTGGAATTAAATAAAACCTAGTCCTTAGTTCCTTTACCCCAAGGCAAGAATCCAATTGGTTGTAAGTGGGTCTATAAACTCAAATATAATGCTGATGGTTCCTTGGAAAGATATAAGGCAAGATTGGTGGCAAAAGGGTACACACAAACAGCAGGTGTAGATTATGCAGAAACATTTTCTCCCGTTGTTAAAATGGTTACCATTAGGTCCATTTTGTCACTTGCTTCTATGCATAATTGGCCACTTTACCAAATGGATGTGGATAATGCATTTTTGCAAGGGGATTTACAAGAAGAGATTTACATGACTTTGCCTCAAGGTTTTGCAAGGCAGGGGGGGCAGCATAGGGGGCAGCCTATAGTCTGCAGGTTACACAAGTCTCTATATGGACTTAAACAGGCATCTAGAGCTTGGAATTACAAGCTTACTCAAGCTTTACTTGTTGGAGGATTTACTCAATCTAAAGCTGATTATTCTTTATTCATTAAGAGAATGGATTCTCATATTATGCTGGTTTTAGTCTATGTAGATGATATTGTTCTCACAGGGGATAGCATTGACATGATCAATTCCACCAAACAGCTACTGCATTCTCATTTTAAACTCAAGGATTTGGGTGTTCAAAAATATTTTTTGGGTTTAGAGTAGTAAGATCTTCTAAGGGTATTCACTTATGTCAAAGAAAGTATGCTTTGGAGCTTATATCTGAATCAGGTTTGTCTGCATCTAAGCCTTCTGCAGCTCCTATGGATTCTACTTTGAAACTTACATCAGTTGCTTATGATGACCTTTTCCCTACTGGTCCTGATCCCCCTCTTGCTGATCCAAGTGTTTATCAAAGGCTGGTGGGTAAGTTGTTGTACTTATGCATGACTAGACCAGACTTAAGTTTTTCTGTCAATCTCTTAAGTCAGTTTATGCATAGTCCCAAACAATCCCATATGACTGCAACACTTAAAATGGTGAAATATATTAAGTCTGCTCCTGGTTTAGGTCTATTTTTTCCAGCTAACAATCTTATGAATTTATCAGCATTTTGTGACTCTGATTGGGGATCCTGTCTCATGACAAGAAAGTCAGTTACAGGGTACTGCATTTTTCTTGGCAAGTCTTTAATTTCATGGAAATCTAAAAGGCATGCCACTATCTCTAAATCTTCATCAAAGGCAGAGTATAGAGCTATGGCCTCCACTGTATGTGAGCTGCTTTGGTTGATTCAACTTTTTCAGGAACTTGGGTTTACTGATTTGCTTCCTATACCTCTTCACTGTGACAACCAGGCTGCTAATCACATTGCATCAAATCCCATCTTCCATGAGAGGACTAAACACATCGACATTGATTGTCACATTGTGAGAGAATGGCTTAAATTGGGAGTCATTACCACTGCCTATATTCCATCATCTGAACAGCCAGCAGACTTGCTCACTAAAGCTCTTGTTGGTCCACTGCATTCCAGATTGTTAAGCAAGTAGGGTGTGCTTGACCTCTACCACCCTCCAACTTGAGGTGGGGTGTTAACATGTACAGTTCAGTTTAATTCAGTTTTATTAGTTTGTTTAAATGTAATAGTTTTAGTTAGTTTGTTACTGTTATTGTTAAGAGAGTTAGTTACAAGTTTGGTTAGTTATTAACTAGAGTTAGTTAACTGCAGTTAATAGTTTACTGAGTTAGTTTGTAAATATAAAAGCCAATGTATAGATTGTATTTTCTTTACCCGAAATAATACACAGCAGTTTCCCTAATTTTCTCTCTTCTGCAAGTTGCATAGTCAAGCTCAAGCACAAAAAGTCCTGATTTTTTAAATTGATTTTGAAATCTGCTCCATATGTAAGATTCCTCGTACAAAACAGTAAAAATTGTTGTCCTGTCATATTTTATCTTTATATTCTTTTATATAATTTCGAAAGATCACGTTACCAAACATCTTTGCTTATGCGAGGTTTGGAGAAACTCTTTGTTATAAATAATGGTTTTAGTGACACTAAAGGTGGAAGGACCGACCGTGATAATGTTAAAGTATAATATTTAATTTTTTTATTATCTACTGCATCAAACGCTGAAAAGTCTTATTTCATGTGTTCACACACCATACGAGACAACCAATGCTCTTATTAATTAATTAATTAAATTTTATTTTTTAAAAGAGAAAGAAAAGAGATAGATTTGATTAGAAGCGTTCACACTCATCGGTTAGAGAAAAAGAAAGAGACAACCAATGGTCTCATTAATTAATAAGTTTTCTTTTTTGAAAGGAAAAGAAAAGAGACAGGCTTGTTTACAAGCGTTCACACTCATCGATGGGATAAGAACAAGCATAGCTCCCGTGCAACGTGCCAACCGTTATTTAAGTAAAAATTAACAGTCATTATTTTTTTAATTAAATAAACCATATTAATGTTATTGTGGCAAAAATGTGAATTACAAATTTCTTTTTTCTTCAATATATGTTATAACTTATAAACCAATTTTCAATTTTAGTTAAATTTTCACATGAATTAACAGCGGAAAGACAAGGGATAGTAAGTTTTACATAATTTTAGTTTTTGGCCTGAAATAAATGGGATGAGAATTGGGAAGAGAACTCTGCACTCAATTGATGTATACGAAGTTCTCGGTGTGGCCATCGATGCCCCAAATAGATATATGAAAAGTGACTAGTGCACAAACTGAAATGTCACCGTCAATATGGACTTTGGTGAACATGTGAGGTTTTTCTACATACCCCTAAGGTTTAGTGAAAGAACACGAATACTCATAGATTTCATAATGAAATAGTTACACTCTTAGAATTAACAAACACTTAGTGAAAAGTTATTTGGACAGAATCTTGGTATAATGACTAATATATCTTTATTTTATCTTTTCACCTACAATAAAAATATTAAATAATTACTTTTCAGAAACATCATTAAATTACAAGAGTGTAAGCGTTCTATTCTAAAACCTGTGAGTCTTTTTTGTTCTTTCACTAAACCTAAGAGGTGTCCATCTAAATACATCGAGAGCATGTTGTTCAAGTTCACCCAAATGACAGCGTATGGGCCTTGCCACTAGTTTACGATCTGTAAGCCGTTGTCTAGAACACTAAAAATAAGAAATTTCTTGCCACGCCTGAGCTTTAGTGTCCCTAAGCATTAGTACTAATGACTTGTGCTTAAGTGTAGATTTAGATGACAAGGAACTTCCCAAAGCATTCGAAGAAATAATAGAGAGGAAAAAATACAAACCTTGGATAAAGAAATTAGAAGAATTCAAGAAAGCTAAGTATAAGTAGTTTGCTTTGTAATTATATTTAATTTTATAAGCATAGGTCTTGGTTAGAAAGGTCATGTGCACGTGAAAGCCTTCAAAAACTTGTTTTTGTGTTTTTAGGATTTGGTCAGTGTTATTTTTCAAACATATGGGGCTAAAGTGATTTGCCAACTTTTCATATTTTGCATTTTTACCCAAGCCGGTCAACAGGATTATGCATCCAGTTTATGGGTTTTATTAAAGGGCTAAAATGTCATATTCCAAGACATGGGGTAAAATGATATTTGCCTAGGTTTGGAAAAATTACACTTTCACCCCATCTAGTCTACCAGATTCTCATCTGGATCTAAACTGGAGCAGACTCCATTCTACACAATTGGTCTGATTGACCGGATGTGGTTTAGTCGTTTTCGACGGCTAGTACCATGTGTGCACCACTTAGGCACCATGTTAGATCTGGTCGACTGGATTGAAAATGGTTGACTGATTTCTGGGATTCTCAAAGTCCCTTTTTTGGCATAACGATTATTTTTTTGCACTTCCATACATAATTTAATCTAAACCCATTCCCAAACAACTTTGTATATTATGAAATTTCATATCTTTCAAAGCAAAAAAATCAAAAAATCTCTTAGAGCTTTCACTTGCAAATTTCATATTCTAAATCAAAACTTTGCTACATCCTAAAATTTTTTTTTTTTTTTTTTTTTTTTTTGGTACAATGGGTTTCTTTGGTCATACACTTGTTTATCTACTCTTTAAGAGAAATTTTCATTGTTTTATCAATAAAATTAAATTTCGAGTTGTAAAACAGTGAGCTTCACTCTTGGGTCTCTAGTGAGAGAAAGTAAGTCCTAGTGTGTGAGAGAGAGAGGTATCAATTGCACCTTGTGAAGCAATTGTGTGTAAAGGTTAATAGCACCTAAAACAAAGCTATTTCTATTATATTTGCTTGGGTGGGGATCAATAAAGGGAGATAGTTGAGAGTAAACGACCTTATTTCCCACCCAAAAAAATGGCTTAATGACATTTTCCACCTCAGACATTTAAAATACCACTTTCCCACCCAAAACAAAAATTCTGTTTCCCTTTAAATACAATATTGATTACAAAGACAAAAATACCCCCACCAAATATCAATCTGTAATCGCTAGACACCGCAAATTAAACTTTTGCGCATGTTTTGGTCAACTCCGACCACCACAATCTGACCCTCTACCACCAAATGAATCACCGACCATCCCTCTTCAATAGTCCTAACAATCTGGACCATGATAGCTCTCCAATCGCCGACGATCGTGGTTCAATCCTTTTGTTGAATGGTTGGCTTTTGATGAACGATGAGCAACCAAAGTCTAGGATGATGGGGCTATTAGAGAGGAGGTGTTGCTGATGCTTGCAGGTGGAATTTTTGACAACCAAATCGGCCGGAAACTGGCCCGAAAGCTCAACAGTCGTGTGAACAAAAAACCAGCTATCTTGTAATTTTCCCTTTTTGTATATTTGTTTCCTTAATCTGCTCCAGTCCCTAA